AGCAAAATCAGGGAGCTGGACAGGGGACAGGCTGTATTTGTCTTCAGTGTGGAAGGGATTGTCACTCTCGAATTGGCCTTCTCAGCTACACTAGACGCTGTTCCAAGACCTCTGTTCAGAGCACGTTACCATAGTCTCACGAGACTGAAGGATGCCTAATCTTATCTAAGATGCTGAGAGACATACTTCTTCTGACACTGGCAGTAATATATAGCCATCATGGCAGGAGATGGGGACAAAGTGCTGAAAGGGCGCTTTGTCTTGCTTCGTGGATCGTCAAACTTGACAACCCATGAGCCACAAATCGACCCGCCTCCAGTGACCTGAGGAACAACAAAACAATTCATCAGTCATCGGGTCTCTTCTTTTTCTTTTTTCTTTCCCTCCGCTTGGTATACCCTATGGGGCATTGCAAGAGGAGGGAAAGCAGGGATCAGAACGATTGCACAGCCATGGCTACCGGATTGCTTTGAACCATTTCCCCCATGGAGCTTAGCAAGAAGGGGAAAAGCAGGAGGAAAGGGGAACCAAGCCATCCCCCAGCCCCGGGCGTGGGGTTCAGCTGATCCATGGGGTCATAAGCAGATAGGGAACAAATATAGAAGGGTTATATTCATTTCTTATTCATTGGGGTTTCTGGACCCCAAGAATATGAAGCAATGAATATCTGACGAATGAGGGATATTTAACTAATTTGTTTTTATATTCATCCTGATTTGTTTTTATATTCGTCCCCATGTCTAATCACGACTATTCACAACGTTCCCTCTTAATTTCTGTTCCACTGTGCAGGAGCCTCCCTCCATGTGTGTGAGGGTAGACAGGCCACCATTCAAAACAGGAAGTAAACAAACCAGCTGGTGGCTGCCTGTGCGCAACCCTGACAGAGTTCTGGATAAGTTCGTGTGTACGCAGCTTAGAGGGATCATTGACTATTAGCCATGGAAAGGCTTACCCTCCATGAGGCAGATATTTCCCTTAACTTGTTATCATGTATTCCTGATGTAAATCATCATTGTACACTTTTCTTTCTGTTAGACAAAAGGTCCAGTAACTTTTGTTGCCCAAACAGATTCTACATTCCAACAGTTGATAAGGAATTTGCAACTTTCTCATTTTGTCTGCAAATATGAATATCCCGAAGAATGTATGTAAATATCTTTTTCTTTCCCCCCATTAACAGATACGAATTGAGTGAAAAGATGCTCTCTGCATGTCATCTTCTTAAAAGTGGCATTGACGATCCCAAGGCTATGGTCAGCAAAGAGATGGTAAACACTTTGTAGTTTGTAAATCATATACAGTATGTCCTTATTATCTGTCACATTAAAAGCTGAGTCGCATAAGATAACTGGTAGTTGTGAGTAAAAGGTTGGCAGTCAGCACAAAAACATCACTGCTTCCAATGCATGACTACAACCATACAAAGTAAATATCGCTCAAGGGAAATGTCACTGGAAATGGCAGATACATCAGCACCAACACCACTTCAGGACATTTCTGCACTAATGCAAACTGTCTAGCCTATTTAACTTATTATGGACACCCAGGAGACCACTGTGGAATTAGGTGTGCTACATTTAAGAGAAGCAGACATGCAGAAACCAAGTGTTCAGTCCTTAAATTAGAGCACTGTGGACTTGTTTCAGCAGTACTAATTTTAGTACTATCTTGAAATACTTTAGCCCACTCACCTTCCAAAGTTCACTATGATGGCAGCTTGTGCAGTCAAAATATAAACACTTTTAAAATGCATCAGATAGGTTTTTAAAAGCCTTATAGAGCATATTTGTGTTGTTTAAAAGCATTACTGCCATTCATGTACTTGTACTTCAATCTGGGTGCTCCTAATGGGCATGGGAAATTACACAAGATAGGGAATTAGTGCTCCAGTTGAACATGAAAGTACAGAGTTTATTTTCTGCTATGGAATGTATGCTGCCTCTTATCAAAGAGAGAAAGATCTGTTGTTTCCATATCTCCCTTTTTTGAAACTGAAGTATGCTTCATACTATGTAAACACACAAAATGAAGTTGTTTGGCTAACACTATACTTCCCATGTGTTTTGGAACTATCAGCATCATTTGAAGACATTCTGGTAAGCGTTACTTTGGATGGGTTATGGCATGTTTTTGAGCTGGTAAAACAGAGAGACAACTAGGACTACTGGAGTTCTTGTTACAAAGGTGTGAAAGAAATTTCATTGTGTTGGTATGTTTAATGCTGACCAAGGAGCTAAATTTTATAAGTTAATGTATGAGGTTATGCAAAGGTATATTTGCATTATACCCCCATGCCTTGCCTTGCTTACTTCACATTTGAGCTTATGTTTAATCTAGCACTTCCATATTAGAACCACAGTACCCCAGAAGAGGAACAAAGGTGGTGAACTGACAAAATCAGCAATGTTTGAATCAATAATGTCCTCTCTGTTTTTCAGAGCTCAATCTTAAAATCCAAATTAGTAGAACAAGACTTTTAAAGAACAGTGTTTAAACATAAAGGTGGAAATAAACACACACACACATTATTACAGTTGTTATCCAAATGCTTTCTTACAGCCCCATTTTTTACATTCCGCCTAAAACTGGTGGAAGATATGACACATTTCTATTGGCAGTACATTCTATAAGATGAGCATAACTTCAGAGAGTGCTTTGGAATTTATGGCTGCCCATCTAAGTTTAGAAGGCCTGTGCTCCTTAAAGCCAAGTACAAATTTTAAAGTTTAGAAACTGGGTTAAGCAGGAAAACAAACAAGCCATTAGAGCAATCTTAGGCATAATCTGACCAAAATGTGTAGCTCACAGCAGTAGCAGCTGCAGTTTCTGGATGCTATTGAAGGATGGCTCATATAGAACACTTTGCAGTAAACTAAATTGAGGTGAGGCATGAATGACAGCATTGTACCAGGTTGTAACATCCACCCTTAACAATGGCTGCAGCTGCTGAGCCATCTGAGGCTTGGAATTTTGCCCTTCGCACAGCTCGCAAAAGTGTCAAATTAAGGAACATCCCCAAACTATAAAATGATTTATCAGAATTAATACAGCGTTTCAGGTTTTTCTGAAGTGCTTACTGTGCTTTGCATAAGACAAGGTGTGCTACTGAAATACTTGAATTTAGACAAAAAAAAGTAGAAGCATTTCAGAAGGAGAACAAAGCGATAAACTTTCAATTTTTCAATATTTGTGAGTTTGTGTCCAGCCCTGGTTTAAAGGCAAAGACTGCAACGACTGTTTTCCCTGTAATTTCAGTGCAGAGCTGAAATCACATATAAATAGAACATCCTTTTGAAGATATTTGTGTTACTTTTTGGCAGCGATTTTGTTTAAACACCATCCAGCACGAGTGGTTTCGTGTGTCGAGCCAGAAGTCTGCTGTTCCTGCAATGGTTGGGGACTACACAGCTGCTTTTGAAGAGATTTCTCCTGCAGTCCTCAGGCATATCATCAACATGGCAGATGGAAATGGCAACACAGCTCTCCATTACAGTGTCTCCCATTCCAACTTTGAAATTGTGAAACTCCTTTTAGATGCAAGTAGGTTGGCTGTTCCAAACTTTTTGTGTTACACGTATATGTGTACCACAATGCGAAGACTATATTGTTGACTGTTGGTATGTTCACTGCTGTGCAATATGTCTGTCTCCCATCTTCTTTAGACTTTTTCGGACCTTTAGTATCTCTGTTATTAACCTCTTGGATCCTAGCAGGGATCTGCAGATACCACAAGCTTCCTGAAGCCACCTGTAGTTCAGGCTTGGAATGCCATGGTTCTAATTAGGGGATGAATGCCAGTTCCACAAATGTAGCATTTGAACACTATCACTTTGGATACAGTCAGATGAGCTTTTGATGAAATCAGGAGCCTAGGCATTTGGAGTTCTTGGAATGCTTTTATGAGACACAATTGCTGGACCTACTTCTTTCACTGTTCATCTCAGCAGGGAATGCCTGGAGTCAACATCTTTTACAGCTTTGAAAAGGGACTTCCCATAACAGAACTTGTGGACTGCTGGAAACAACAGATAGTGAATTAAAATCGGGTTTACTTTAACTGTAGTTATTTCAAGGCATAAGGCATAGTATTTATTTGTGTTGTTATGAAATTTCAAAATAGCTTTTGCTTTTCAGTTTTTCAGCTTGAAATTTTTAGCTGTTAGCTGTGGGAACTGCCTTAAAGCAGTAGTCTACTACAAATGATAATTGGTTGTATCCATTTGGTGTCTCTCTGCTGACAGGAGGCTCTTTTATATCCATAAAAGACAGAGGGAGGTAATTTTGAGCCTTCTCCTTTGCAGGGAACTTGTTTAATCAGTTACTATAACTTTAGAGAGAAAGATATATGCATTTGTTTTTCTCTCTTGTCCATTCTTTTCATAATGTCACTTGTGGATACTTTTCAGAAATAATAGCCAATTTTTTTTTTGAACTTTATTTTTGGCAGTTTTACTGTTGGACACTTTGCATAAGTATCTGTATTTCTGTTACAAGTAATATCTTTAAAGAGAAAATGAGCACATCCCAGACCGACTGGATAGCAAATTAGAAGGCCCAGCAGGGCCTCCTTTTAAGGACTCGGGGTGGGGTGAGGAGATGACTGCTGAACAAAAGCAGTGGCCTTCGTGGTTTCTGGCACCTGCTCAGAAGAACTGAATACATTTGGTCCCATACCAAATACAGTTTAGGCCAGGAAGCCATTCAACTAAAAAGTCATGTCTGTAGGCTTTATAAATGTGCAAAGTGTTGCTGAAGCACTTGTTAGTGATATAAAACTAAAAAAAAGTGGGAGATACATTATCTTTTAATATTTTAGCTATATCATTGTTTTATGTCAGGTTCCCCATAGAAATCTGAGGTTTTCTTCTATTTTATAACTGAAACTCTGGCCATAAGCTGATACTGTCTGTAGCTCTCTATTCATTGAACCTGTGAACAATTGCCTTTAAGTTAACTGTCTTAACCAACTGCATGAAATGTGGCTTTGAGTCTTCTTTCCAGTTCTGCTATCATGCACAGGATAATGAGAGAATTGTTTTCTTTACTTGGCCAAAGAACCATTCCTGCCCCTCTTTCTCCCTTTCACACATTTTTCTGAATCATCTTCATTATATAAGCAATTGCTGCATTTCCAAAAGGCTGCTCTAATAACAGTTTATTCAGTTATTCTGTACAATTGATGCTTCAGGGCCTCCAACTTCTTCACAAGATTCTCTCTTCTGTCCTTCTGCAGATGTCTGCAACGTAAATCACCAGAACAAGGCTGGTTATACTCCCATTATGCTGGCAGCTCTTGCAGCTGTAGAGGTTGAGAAAGACATGAAAGTAGTAGAAGAGCTCTTTGCCTGTGGAGATGTGAATGCCAAAGCCAGTCAGGTTGGTACTTCTGCCTTTGCCTTCAGTCCATTGGTACAACAGTAGATAGTCAGACAAAACAGAGAATTAGTTTTGGCCTCTTTTAGTGTCAAAGCCTTTCTGTCCCCAACCCTGCTAGATGGTCTCAGAAAAATAACTATTTATTTGCTGGAGCAATTTCCTGGCGTGTGCTTATCTGAGGCAACTCACAATGACCCTGACACTATATTAGAGCATAAAATTGTGTGTTATGGGAAATGCTACGAGGTAATCTCTTTTATATTGGTTTTATTCGTGAGATGAAATAAGATTCCTTTAATTATATGAAGGCAGTGCTTGAAGTACTCTTCTGATATGCGTTCAAACATATTTATTCCTCTCCCATGTTGAATGCTGAATGAAAGTTGTTCAGGCTGACATCAAAAGCCTGCTACGTATACTGTTGACCTGTTGATGGCTATGAAGTCAACAGAAAGCCTTTTGCAGTCCTCATTTTGCATTTTTTTTTAAAAATCATTTAATGAAAAGAAAATACCTTTGTTAACAATGTAATGCTTTTAAAAATTAAAACCTAGATGACCTGTTCAAAGTCTGGAAAGAGAGGCAAGGCTGGCTGAGCCAGCATTGAATTTGCCAGCATCATGTCACTCATTTCAATTGCAGTGTTGAGTGGCATGCTTTATAAGGGGAGTGGCCATTGTTTATAAGGACATCTTTGAAGCTGCTAGGCTCTCTGTGGTGGCAAGCCCAGGTCTAGAGGCCGTCCACATGTCGTTTGGGGCCAGGGGTGGCTTTGGGATTCTGCTGGCATACCACTATCCCCACAATCCAGTGCAACCTGTGCCGGAGCTGGCAGATTTTGTCTCCATGGTGCTGTTGAGGTCCCCCAGACTATTGGTTCTGGGGGACTTCAAGATTCATGTGGAGGCTGAGGTTTCCAGACCATCTCAAGAGTTTCTGGAAACCCTGGCTTCCTTGGACTTGACCCAGCGAGTTAGCGGTCCTACCCACGTGGGCGGTCACATGCTGGATCTGATCTTTGCTGCCAAGCAGAGAGAGTGTGCTCTGATGGTGGCTGACTTGACATCGGCCCTCTTGTCATGGTCAGATCACCACCTAATTAAATGCAGCCTCACAGTGGCACTTCCCTCCCATGGGGAGCTTGGACCCATTAAGATGGTCCGCCCCCACAGGATACTGGAACCTGTCGGATTCCAAGATATCATGTGGGGGATTCCGGCTGGCTTGGTTGGCGCTCCTGTCGATGCTCTGGTGGATGGCTGGTATACTGCTGCCACCAGGGCTGTTGACACAATCGAATCTAAACACCCTCTCTGCCGTCAAGCCTGGACAGCTCCCTGGTTTCACCAGCAGCTGAGGGCCATGAAGCACAATTGGAGAAGTCTAGAGAGCATTTGGAGAAGGGCCCTGACAAAAATTAATTTAAAAGCCACCAGGATTGTATCTAACCTTTACCTAGCTAGGGTAAGGGTTGCTAGAAGATCATTCTTCGCTGACCAGATAAGCGAAGGTCACAACCAGCTGGTGGAACTTTTCCGTATAGTGCATGATCTATCCAGAGTTGGCCACAGTGATAGGCCTCCCACTAGTATTTCCTGTGACCAATTTACGGTATTTTAAAAATCTAAGGTAGAGGCCATCCATGGAGACCTTGATTTGACCAATTTACGGCATTTTAAAAATCTAAGGTAGACGCCATCCATGGAGACCTTGATCCCCTTTTACAGACAGGAGATCGAGTTGAGATGTCCAGTGCATCATTAACCTGCTTTTAACCTGTGACGTCCAGGATGCCACCTCAAAAATTAACGGGCCACTGCAAAAATTAATGGGTCTCTCCAGAAGGGCATAGTTCCTCCTGCCCTCAAAGAGACACTCATTAGGCTCATTTGAAAGAAACCTAATTTGGCGGTGGACGAAATTGGTGATTATAGGCTCATCGCCAATGTTTCTTTCTTAAGTAAAGTGGTTGAGATGGTGGTGGCTGATCAGCTCCAGGCACTTGTGGAGGAAACTGACCCCCTTGATCCATTCCAGTCAGGCTTCAGGCATGATATGGAAACAGCATTGGTTGCCCTGCGGGATGACCTCCTGAGGGAGGCCAACAGGGGCAACATGGCCTTGTTGGTCCTCCTCAGTGTCTTAGTAGCCTTTGATACTATCAACCATGGTATCTTCCTGAGGTGGCTCTCCGAACTGGGGATCGGTTGCCTCACTTTGGCATGGCTCTGTTCCTTCTTGGGAGAACATCCCCATAGAGTGTAGCTTTGTGAGATGACTTCCACCCCGTGGATCCTCAGTTGTGAGGTTCCGTAGGGGTCAATCATCTCACCAATGCTATTTAATATCTATATGAGGCCGTTGGGTGAAGTCATCCGGAGTTGTGGGGCTTGGTCTCATCAGTACACTGATGAGACCCAGCTCTACCTTTCCTTTTGTCCAACTGCAGTGTATGCTGTTCCGTCCCTTGAACGCTGCTTGGGGACCGTTCTGGGGTGTCAACCTGGTGTCAACAGGTTGAGAAACTCCCTCTCCTTTGGGGGAGTGACTCTTTCCACAAAGAATGAGGTTTGCAGCTTGAGTATCTGTCTGGACCTGGATCTCACCATGCTCAGGTGACATCTGTGGTCCGGGCGGCCCATTTCCATCTTTGGAGGATTGCCCCTAGATTTGGGGGCACTCAATGAGTTTGATTCATGCCCTCGTAATCTCAAAAATAGACAACTGCAGTGCTCTCTAGGTGGGGCTACCCTTGAGGTTGATGCAGAGACAACAACTGGTTCAGAATTTTGTGGCCAGATTGGGTGAAGAAATTTCAGCATATCTCCCCCATTCTGGCCGACCTTCATTGGCTACCACTTCCGCATCGACATACAAATTATTGTAAGCCGCCCAGAGACCTCTGGGTAGAGTGGGCGGCATATAAATTAAATAAATAAATAAATAAATAAATACAAAGCCCTAAATGGTTTAGGACCTCGGTACCTAGCAGAGCACCTACCCCCAGCTAGATCTGTCCGTAACACCTGTTCTTCACAGGCAAGGCGGTTGAGGGCCTTGACCCCGAAGGAGGCCCGGAGGGAAAGAACAAGAAGCCGGGCCTTCTCGTTGGTCGCCCGCCCCCTGCCTGTGGAACAATCTGCCCATGGAGATACGCCTGGCACCCTCGTTGGACGGGTTTAAACGAGCATTGAAAACTTGGCTCTTCTGTCAGGCTTTCCCTGAGCATTAAGTTGATGATATCTCTGCTTTCCTTTTATCATATTTTTTCCATCCTTTCAACCATCTTTATAGCCATCTGTTTTAATTAATCCTACTAGTTATTGTGTCTGTTGAATGTATTATTTTATTCTTATTGTGTTTTAATATTGTGTTGTTTGTCTTGTTGCTGTTAGCTGCCCAGAGTAGCCTGGCTACCAGATGGTGCAGGGTATAAATCTAATAAATAAAATAAATAAATATGCTGTGGTTTCTTTGATTTCTGTCTTCACTCAAATATGTAGTAATTGTTTCAGATTTACAGGAGAATATTAACCTTTCTGCTATATGTGTGCATCTAGCTTACTGGTATTCTTTCTTTTTTGGAGAATACTGTATGTTATAACTAATAGATTTCTATGTGGGCAGGACTCTCTTGTACTGATCTCTGCTCCAGATAATGAATGGCTTATGGGTATATTTGTTCTTTTGTGTGCAGGCTGGACAAACTGCTCTGATGCTCGCTGTGAGCCACGGACGAATAGATATGGTGAAAGCTCTCCTGGCTTGTGGGGCAGATGTTAACATACAGGACGATGAGGGCTCCACTGCTTTGATGTGTGCTAGTGAACATGGACATGTTGAAATTGTCAAACTTTTGCTGGCTCAACCTGGGTGTAATGGCACATTGGAGGACAATGTGAGTTACTTCTGCAGACCATCAATACTTGATTGGATTCTAACAGCCCTGTACTCTGCACAGTATGTCACATTCATTCAAGCAATGTGAAGTGTGAACATAATGTACAAATCTGTGCATCATGCAAAAATAGTTATATTTTCAGCACACAGCTAACAGTGCTGGGAAATTAATCATTGTAATGAATTACTAATTGAACAAGGTGCCTTCTGGAATAACAAGCTGGATCAATTACTTTTTTGTTTATAAACACCACAGTTATGATTTACTACTACTTCAGTGGAGCACGAATGAGTGTCTGCCTCTTGTTACCGGTGGTGAGAAGTGTCATCAGTAGCAAGAGAGGAGGAAGAACAGACCCATAGGTGGTCCATGTTGTACTGCTACCTCTCTGTGTCTGTCTTTGTGAAGGAGTTGTTGTAAGGACAGAGAAATTAAGAAGTGAGAAAAGCAAATATGATAGGAAGAGTGAGAGAGGATAATTAAGGAGGACACTGAGAAAGAGAGTAGAGGCATACATACACAAAAGAGAAAGCATGAGCTCATACATGGATGCACACAAGAGAAAGTAAGTGCAAGCAGGCAGGCATGTGAGTGAAGGTGGGTAGATATGCTTAAAGAAAGCAAATGAGGTGTGCATGAGAGGCAGCAAGAGCAAAAGCAGGCATACACATGACAGAGCTATATACATCCGAGAGATTTAGCCTAGATAAGGTGAGCTGGTTTAAGTGAGTTGCCGGGAAAGACAGTGTCAGCTGTTTAGTTCAGGTTTGATTTTTCACATGAAGGAGCAAGATGGGAGCTGGCTGTTTGACTGAATTTTGGAAGCCATTTCTGGGGTATATGGGAACAGGAAAGCCTCTAAAAAGATAATCTACGTATATTAATATTTAGGTTCTGTGGCTGATAGGTTATTAGTACATCAGGAGTATCCGTGGGCAAGATTATCACAAAGTACTGTATGTGGTATTCAGAGGTAAACTGTCTCAGAATATGCTTAAGGTTTCATTTAAGATTATCTCCTGTAATTCTTCCTGCCAATCTGGTACCTAACCCAATACAAATGCTTATCTTGTTGGGATATAATCAGGAAAGTGCCAAGTAAACATAGTTCTGTGTAAAGGCATTTATTTATAATTCAGTTTGCTCCCTAATTTAATACTCATTAGACTTCCAGCCAATCTGGTACTTTCTCAGTGCATTGGACTACAAATTCCACTCCATTTCTAGCTGGACTGAGCTACAGTCCAAGAGATCTGGGAGGTAAGTGCCAAGAGAAGCAGAGCTGTGTAGAGTAATTTATTTGTCTGACTATCTCAATGTGTGTTAAACAGAACTGGCCACCTGGGGGAACTAGAGGGTATTTGCGTATGTTTTCCAAAGTGTGCACAGGTAACAGCAATGCCAACAGTCACTTTTGCAGACCAGGAGTAACAATAATGATCTGCCATTGATCCAAAGTAGTGAAGGAGCTCATTTTTTCTTTTAAAAAAAGTAACATCCAGAGCTCTGACACCTAAATATGTCAATCTGACAGGCTTAAGGTTATGCTCCTAAAACCATCATGTAATTTGATTGCTTTGCATCTTGTCTTTTGTATGTTATTCTGTTGAAATCTCTTAATATTTCAAAATATACCTTATGAAAACACAAGGCCCCATATAGAAATGGGATAGGGATAGGAAGTGGAGCCAAATATTTTTTATTTTATTTTTTGCTACTGTGTCTGAAATAAGGGGCAGTATTCAATTGTTTTCATTGCAACAACATCTTGCTTTGGTGGACAATTACATGCATTCTCCCACACTGTCATTCTAATAGCAGTGCGCCTGCAGCCTTTGTCCTGTGTATTTGTTCATATGTGAAGCAAAATCATAGTTAAAACTTGGAATCCTGCTTTGAGCAACATTTGAAATTCATGTGGGGGCAATTCACGGCCTTTTGGACTCAAGAGCCAGGGTGTAAAAATTCCAAACCTTGCTACAGAGACAGTAGAGGCACAACCTCACAAGAACTGATTGATCATCATTCCCAGATATGTAACATCAATTTCTCGACAATTTTTCAGCAATAACACAACTCTCTTGTTAAGAAAAATGCCCCTGACAATCAGATTGCCCCACAAAACAGAAGCACAAAGCTTGTTGCTTAACTGTAATCAGTGAAATGTTCTTTGTATGTGTTCTCAAGGATTCTATATTGTTTTGGCTGGCTGGGCAACAGAACCGTCCTTTCAATACCTTTTAGTCCCTGTTGGTTATAGTTGTTTACAGAAATATCTGCATAAACCATGGATATCCATGTTGCCTTTTTTTTTTTTTTTAAGGATGGCAGCACAGCACTTTCAATAGCCCTTGAAGCAGGGCACAAGGATATTGCTGTTCTTCTCTATGCTCATGTAAACTTTTCCAAACCCCAGTCCCCGGTGAGTTACATGGCTACATTCTTCATTTTGGGCTTGGGGTGGTCAAGGTTATTAAAAAGAGTTCTTGTTCTAGGACCAAAGACAAGTCGAATCCTCTTCACCCAGTGCAGAATCTGAGCAATAATGATGCTCTCCGTCAGCCACTTCAACCTTCCCCCTGCTGTCACTGTAGCCCACATGATTCTCCAGTTCTGCATTTTTCTTTGTGAGGTCTAGATAACCTGCCATATACTGTATGTTAGAACTAGTTTGTGAAGTTCCACCACGAACTTGTAGACGGAAAGGGAACAGGGAATGTTCTGGGAGCTACGGTATTCCTGAGGCTGGACTATCTTGTCTCCAGGATGAGGTTTTTATGATTTTCTGATCCACATAGTTATGCCTGATTTTTTGTTTTGTTTGTTTTTGCTGCTCCTTCCTCTTGCAGCTACCAATCTGCTCCCATGTCTGCTAGTGTAGCCGTGTTTGGGGAAATCTTCTTCTGCAGCCACCTTCTCATTTAAACATTTCATTACTTCAGGCTTCTGCTATATAGTTAGTGGAGCTGCATTAGATGATCTTCAGTTGAGTAGAAGTATTCAAGAAATTGAAAGGTTCAGTGACTTTCTGCAACATGCATAATTATTTCCCATCTTCAACATTCCTTTTTTTCTTTTCTAGGGCACCCCAAGGCTCGGAAGAAAGCCATCTCCTGGTCCTACCCATAGAAGCCCATTTGATTCCTAATGCACAATGTTGATCTGTAAACTTCAAGGTCACCTCTCCTCTGCTGCTAGTAGTTACTGTTTTACAGTGACAGATATTGAATGTAATTGTCTTGTGCCTGAGCTCACCAGCAAACTGAAAGCAGATGCCTAGAGCTAAAGACAGAGGAACAGCTTCTTTGTTAACAGCTATTACTCAGGATTAACCAACATGATGTGATTGGTGCATGGAATCTATTTCAGATGGATCCTCACGGCCATTTATCACTCAACACAGTGGACAGTGTTCTCCATGCTGCTGCAATACCTGAGGGTTACCTTGACGGACAGAGTATTAAGAACATGGTATCTGGATTGGTCACAAGGCTTTGCCGTTTGGGAGCAGCTGTCATAAAGAGGGAGCTTACATGCAACCTGTGTGGCGCTTGTGGCTCTTCTGCTAACCTTTTCAGCTTCCAGGAAATGACAGAAAATTATTGCTGTAGAATATATTCTTATATTACCATACATGCAGTTTTTTAAAGCTATCTGTTGAGTTATGACTCTGGCCCAGCTGGATAAATCTTACTGCCTTTCTTTTTTAAAAATATGTTCTTTACACAGGTATTTATATTTGCTATCGTTGGAATTGTTGGCAAGAACCCACTTATTGTAAATGTCATTCCAAAATTATTTTAAGACTTGTTTTAATGCTTATTTTAAAATGTAAAACTGGCAACTGCTTATGATGTTAGCTCTTGAGATCATCAGCTGGTGGGCTAATGGTTTAACAATGGAAGATAGGCTGCACCATGGCTTGGAATATGCTAAATGAATTGCTGCCGATTTGTATAGCTTTTATATAAAGTCAGTATTTTTGACACTTTCTACTCTCTTGTAATTAAAATAATCTACACACAAATCACTACTAGATTTTTTTAAATTAATGGACATTTACATGAACCCTAGGATATGTTGCAAGATGTTCATCTGTACAATACTAGAAATGTAGTTCCAGGTGCATGCTCTCTCTCTCTCTCTCACACACACACACACACACACACACACACACACACACACACAGAGAGAGAGAGAGACAGACAGACAGACAGACAGAATGCTTATTTTCCTGTTATGTTCACTTCAGTCATATGCATTTAAATGTTTGAAGTGCCTTAGACTCTTGCCATATTTTCAGAATAAAATTTCCTTGTTATTTTATTCCTGCCTTTTGTCTTGTTTTGTGACACTAAAAAAACAAGCCTTCAGATTGCTTTTTACTTCATTTCCCATGCATAGTAATTTTTAGTACATATATCTATTCTAAGAAGGTTGTTTTAAAATTAAAAGAAAATCATGCTGCTTAAATGCCACCCCATAGTGCCCAAAGCATTCTCTGGGCAATTTACAATTTAATTTGGTAGGCTGGATACTCAATTTACCAACCTTGGAAGGATAGAAGACTAAGTAAACCTTGAGCCAGCTACCTGGGATTGAACCTGGATTGTGAACAGAGTTCTGGCTGCAGTTTAACACTGTACCACAAGGCTACATTAAATGCAGGATACCTGATTTAGACCCTGTTGTGGAGGGTTTTATCCTTTTGCATCCTACATATAAATGTATATTGCTGAAAAATAGTAGTTGAATATATTCAAATAAAGGAATCACATTTGGGCAATGCAAGGGTCTCCTTTGCTTCTGAACCTGGTTTGGGCCCCTTGTGCTGTCAAGTTAAAAAACAGACTTAGCTGCTAGGTCTATCTTTATAATAATGAGTAATTTTGACTTTTAATCTCAAAGCAATTCTGCAAACATTTGCATGTTTAGAAGGGAAGGCAAAATGAAGTCAGTGGCTATGTAGCAAAAAAGGAAAAGGAAAATATCTACCCACAGGAATCCTTGGAATGCCTCTCTCTTAGTAAAGCAGCTAGAAAAGCAATACTCAAAATCCAGAGATTCTCTGATCAGGCAGTTAAGTTATTCAGTAAATTGTATATCCTTCCAAGAGATTTTGGGGGGAGGGGGGTGCTGGTGCTGCTGCTCTACTTTAATACCTAATCAGTATTCTAATGAAGCAGAGAAATGGTAAAATACTTCTAGTTCCTTTTTGGCTAAATAAATACCGAACTTACCAAGTGACTACAAACACATCATGGTAACTTCATTTATGATAAATTGATACCTATATGCATCCTTAATTAAATATGTTAAGGGGATAAGAATTTTGGCCTAACAAGTACATCAATGCCAGTTCTCTGCCTAAATACTTTGAAAACAGCTCTCAGATCACCCTCCAGCAAAACAGGTGCATATGCACATGATGTAGTGGGATAGTTGATATTTTTTGGAACAAACAGAGCTTTCCATTTTCTGTTCTACTGAAACATGTATTTTTATTTGAAATGGTTTTGTGGCCAAAGGCCACTTAGCTATGCTTCCTGCCATAAGGAAATTGCTAATCACATGTTGGCCTGTTCAGTTACTTAGAATGGTAGCCTGGTAATCATAGAAAAAACACAGATTGAGAATTTTAATCAGGTCTTGCTAAAATACATATTCTCCCTACTGCGGAAGTGTGTAGTAAACAGCTATGACACAGCCAAGTTGCTGAACTTGCCGGCTTACTATTCAAAATAGAGAAACACAGCCCAGAGCTGCGGTCAGAAATATGAGAACATTCCATTTTTTTTAAACACAGGCTGATTTGACAATACTTTCTGGAGTAGGTCACTTGAGTGTCAGGTTTGGCACACAAGTTCTTATTCTGCCCTCCAACATATATTCTTCTAATTTTGAAATTTTAAGTATACCTCAATTTTTGCCAGAAAAAATCCACATTGCAATTCGTTGGTTAGGCTGGAAGTTCAAATAGCATAGCAAAGGCCAAGTGGCCTGTCTCAGCAGTCTGCAAAAAAAAGATCTCGGTAGCAGTAATGTATTGATGCTTCAAATCCTGTCAAATTCTTTGTACACAAATAGGGGATAAGAGTAAACTGTCACCACTGTGTCTGTCTTCCAAATTATTATTATAGAACAAAGGAATGGGCAGTTGGAACCTTCCAGATATTGTTAATTATAACTCCCATATTCATTCACCATAGGAGAGCATAGAAGTTACCATTTTGGACTGCCAGAGAGAGTCTAGGAGCTGTAATCCAAAATGTGATTTTCTGAAGCACAGTCCTTTCATTTTGCAGGGACGGTGGAGTCCAACAATATCTGGAGCGTCACAGTTGATAATCACTGGTATAAAATATTGTCAGCTATCTATATTGCTTAACAAACCAGAGCTTTCTTGCAAAAAAAAAATGTATGTTAAAATTTCCTGTGACTAATAGTGTGGATGTAGTAATATTCTGTTCACACACACTTTCATTCAAATGCAGCTGCACATAGTGGATTTTGTTTTTTTATGACTCATTTGCTGTATGAAGACAATTGCTTTAGACATACAATAGCTCCTTTTAATTTTCCTAACAAGCTGAGGCAGACTAAGATGGCTACTTCTTTGCAAATTATTGTAAAAAATTCCTAAAAGGCTATCACCAAGTTTGCATTACTGTAATTCCCAACTCAAAAGAGTGGGAAAAGATGTATTGGGATACAATCTCAAAAATGATAGAATGATTTTAATACGAATCCAAGGCAGAACTTTCAACATCACAGTAATCCAGGTTTATGCACCAACCACCAATGCTGAAGAGGCTGAAATTGACCAGTTCTATGAAGACTTACAACACCTTCTAGAACTGACATCAAAGATAGATGTTCTTCTCATTATAGGGGACTGGAATGCTAAAGTAGGGAGTCAAGAGATAAAAGGAACGACAGGTAAGTTTGGCCTTGGAGTTCAAAATGAAGCAGGGCAAAGGCTAATAGAGTTTTGTCAAGAGAAGAAGTTCGTCATCACAAACTCATGGGCATCACCAGATGGGCAATACTGAAATCAGATTGATTATATTCTCTGCAGCCAAAGTCTATACAGTCAGCAAAAACAAGACCTGGAGCTAATTGTGGCTCTGATCATCAGCTTCTAATAGCAAAGTTCAAGCTTAAACTGAAGAAAGTAGGAAAAACCACTGGGCTAGTCAGGTATAATCTAAATAAAATACCTTATGAATACACAGCAGAAGTGAAGAAGAGATTTAAGGACCTCGATTTGGTGGACAGAGTGCCTGAAGAACTATGGATGGAAGCTCGTAACATTGTACAGGAGGCAGCAACAAAAATCATCCCAAAGAAAAGGAAATGCAAGAAAGCAAAGTGGCTGTCCAACAAGGCCTTACAAATAGCTGAGAAGAGAAGGGAAACAAAATGCAAGGGAGATAGGGAAAGTTACAGAAAATGGAATGGAGACTTCCAAAGAATAGCAAGGAGAGACAAGAGGGCCTTCTTAAATGAACAGTGCAATGAAATAGAGGAAAAGAATAGAAAGGGAAAAACCAGACATCTGTTCAAGAAAATCGGAGATATTAAAGGAACCTTTTGTGCAAAGATGGACATGATAAAGGACAAAAATGGTAGGGACCTCACAGAAAAAAAGAGGCTACCTACCTGTAACTCTGGTTCTTCGAACAGTCCTCTGTGAATTCACACTGATGGGTTATTCTGCAGCTGAGCAGGAAAAGTCGGAGGCTCCTATAGCTTTACGAGCTCTGTGCCGGGGGACCTCCCACAGAGGTTACATCACCAACTCGGCACTGAGCACGCCAGTTCCGAAGAACTGACGCCACTGTGTGTGCCAACCTTGAAGAGTCAGGACGTACAGCGGGGAGGCGGGTGAGTCATGTGAGTTCACAGAGGACTGTTGGAAGAACCAGAGTTACAGGTAGGTAACCTTTTCTCCTTCACGTCCTCTGTGAATGCACACTAATGGGTGACTAGCAAGCTGACTTACCCGGAGGTGGGCATCACGACAGGACAGAAGCCAGGACAGCTCTACCAACAGCAGCCTCCGCTTTGGCTTGAACATCAAGGCGATAGTGGGCTGCAAAGGTGAAGGGTATAGACCAAGTCACAGCTTTGCAGACATCAGTAAGGTTGACACCTCGAAGAAATGCTGTGGACAAGGCCATGACTCTGGTAGAGTCGGCTCTGACAGTAGCAGGTAGAGGCTTGTGAGCGATCTCATAAGCAAGCTTGATAGTGGACACCACCCATCTCGCGAAGTTTTGAGCAGACACTGGAGCACCCATGGAATGGTCCAGAAATGATACAATCATGGAGATTTATTCAAGTACGCTGTGTGGGAAATGTAGTACGCCAAAGCCCGCTTGATGTCTAGAGAATGGAGGGCCTTCTCGATGTTAGTTGTAGGATTTGGAAAGAATGTGGGCAAGACTATCAGCTGGTTTGGGTGAAAGGAGGCAGCCACCTTCAGTAGAGAGGAGACATCCGGAAAAAGGGTGACCTTGTCCAGATGAAATTATATGATAGGCGGGTCCATCCGAAGTGCCGTAAGTTCACTTGCCCTCCTTGCCGAAGTGACTGCCAGAAGGAAGGCCGTATTAAAGGTAAGTAGCCGAAGAGATGTAGAAGCTAGCGGCTGAAAGGGTGGAGACATCAACTTACGCAAGACAAGCTGAAGGGACCATTGGGGAGTGGGTGGCTTGTAAGCTGGGCGCATGTTACGAAGGCCCTTAAGAAATCTTTTCAGTACAGGGTGCTGGAATAATCTTGCTGCATCTGAGAGGGGAGGCTGATAAGCAACAACTGCAGAGATGAGGATTTTCAAAGTTGAATGGGATAAGCCAAGGTGAAAGAGAAGGAGGAGAAATTGAAGGAGTGTATCCAGAGTGGTGGGGCACGGAGACACACCACATTCCTCTGCAAAGTCACAGAAGGATTTCCACTTCTGAGTATAGGTTGCCAGAGTAGATGGCTGACAAGCCTGGTTCAACACATCCTCTATCGCAGGTCCAGTCTCCAGGCCGTGAGATGAAGAGAGTCTAGGTCTGGATGGAAGGTCCAGCCCTCGTGGAGGGAGAGCAGATATAGAAGTTTGTGGAGCGGGAAGTGATCCGACGCCATCTGTAACAGAGGAGTGAACCAGGGTTGCCGTGGCCACCATGGAGCGATGAAAATCACGTTGGCTCGGTCCTGACGGATTTTGTTTACCTTCTGTATAGGGGAATCAGAGGAAACGTGTACACAAGTCCAATCGTCCATGACACCATGAACGTATCTCCCTCCGAGCGGTGTCCCACACCCGCTCGGGA